CAGTGAGCTGTGACGGAAACGTGGTACCAGAGACGTTTCCAACATCATTTGGCTTCTGAGTCGAGAGTGTAACTCTAATCTTTTTACCACCCCTTGAGGACTACAAGGCACCGAGATGTTGATGCATGGGTGCCGCAAACTTCCCAGCAGCTCATTTGCCGTTAGATAAATGTGGGCGAAACGCAGGGATGTATGCATTTTGTTAGATAGATAGATCGTTATAATCATTGGATCGTGCAATGGGTCTCGTCCGCTCACAAAAATTTGATGGTATCGAGTGCACCCAATGACAGCCAGGAACGAGGCTGTCCATGTCCGAGGTCAAAGTGACAAACAAGCTTGTTGCCGGATTTTCAATAATCTATTTTGTGTCTCATCGGTTCCCTTGGTTTGCTAATCTGTGATTAAAATCCAATCCTTGAAAGCAAACGATCAAACGATATCACGTGACTACAAACGTCGCAATTGTTTTGCGACTGTTAAAAGCATCCTAATGCTACTACTAATTCAGCATTTCATTGGAAGACCACGACCGTTTTGTCTGAGTTTTGTATCCCTGCCAATATAATAGTGTGATGGTATTTAATGTTATCCGGGTGTAATACGCGAGGAAGATTGACTGGTTGGTACATTGCTTTAGACTGAGAATAATACTTCCCTTTTTCAGATGTTTGTATTCAGCTGTTACACTGTGCCCAATGGTCATAGGCTAATATATGTGCTGAGAAACTGGACATTACTGGGTGAGTACTACATCATCAATTATGGACTCAACACTCAGGTGGGCACCGGTTTATCCAATAAGTTGTCGTGGACGGTCAGTAGAGTTGCCTGATTATGTTTCTTCTGACAGGCCAGCTCCCTGCGATGAAAACGTCCAACGTATAAAGAAAAGGATCGAGGCATGCGCGAAATAAGGGCGTCACCACAACCCTGTTGTCCGACAGTTAACCATCTGCTGTACAGTGGCTAGAGGTGCAACCGCGCAGGAAACGTTTCAGTGGTACTTGGGATGCTATTATTATAGTCCCGAGAATGTTCGTGAGAACATCCTTGAAGCCAACGCAGGAGAAGTTTACTTAAGATGTTTTGTTGAATACACAACTCTACAATCTGTTTCCATTAGGGAAACGGGAATGCATAGTCATGGTCTATCGGTGAAAACAAATCATTTCAACCTCCACCGGTGACGAAAAGGAACCACGGAAAGTTAAGTGTGTGAAATGTGTCTATCGCTGTTATCGCCATGTGCCAAATGCCGTAACCATTTCGAGGCATAGTGTAATGTGTGTGATGAGTCATTATTTGCACACACAGACACACACGCACACACAAGCACCCCTCACGAACGCAGCTGTCCAAGCGCATGCGAGTGCAGAACTTCTGTTTGTGTCAAACGGATCCTAGCACTCTCGAATCGATGGTCGATGACCGTAATCGTGGCCATGGTCTGAATGTTTGTCGAGTCTAGCCTTCAGTGGATAAACAATCCGTAAATACTATAAAATGTGTGCGGGGAGAGAATTACACTAATGAAACGTCCGGGCAAGAAACCTGGGTTTGTACCCTTCAAATAATACAAACGTTACGCTTTAATGACTGTTCGATTTCACAAACGATCAAACAAGATCCGAAGTTTTATACTGCGTGTGAGACGCAACACCAATATGTCATCAACGATCAACAGTTTTCTTTTAATTTGTTCTAATCAACATACATTGGTGGTTCAAAACAATGCTGACAGCGACCGAACACCTTTCGTTTTCTGACAGATGCCGATGATCGATCAGGTACTGAAGTATGATCTGTTTTCAGTTTCGTTTTCTGTGCAATGCACAAAACCTCAAAAACGTTGACACCCCCTGTGATATGAGAACTATATATTATTAAGTTTGTACGCAATAGAAAATCTAAACTATATTTCATTTCTCATCGTATTCGCGTTTAGTTATCAATTCACTTAAGACAAAGTTTGGGATGTGAACACGGCGAGATAAATTCACATTTCGGCAGTTATTTCGAGGACACTCAATGATATACACCTGTGTGTGTGTGTGAGTGTGTAACCTGTAACACTTCACTGCCCTCATTCCGGATGGCCATTTGTTTTGTTTGACTATCTCTCATCCGTTTCTCTGTCTGTTCAATCTCGAGTCCCAACATATCAAAGTCAAAGTCAAAGTTTTATTATGGACGATTTAACAAAGCTAAAGCTTATCATGCCCCATAGGATTTTTACAGAATATTTTGAATAATTTCCCAAAGAGTAAATAATAATGATAACAATTTGCATGATCACTCACGGATGTCGAAATTTTAAGTGTTCCAATGCTTTATCAAGTTGCGATTTTAAATAGTTCAACTGTCGAAGCACACACTACATCGGATGGTTGGGACTTCCATACACCACACACTCTGACTGTAAACGAGTGATGCCGGCAATGAAGGTGGCTGTTCTGGGCTTTCTACTTTAGTGGATGTCCTCTGAGGTGATCATTTTGAGATAAAGTTAGTATAGAACGGCAAGGATGTTTGAGTTGATGTAATATGTGATATGCCAATATTAGGTCCCCTCGAAGTCGGCGGTATTGAGATGAGTAGAGTCCCAATATTTACGGTCTTTAAGGAGTATGTCTTGTTATACAGACCTTTCACCAATTTTGTTGCCAGCCTTGGTGAACGTTCTTGAGCCTTCTTGTCGCGGTTCAACCATAGATTCCATACTTGAACGGCGTACTCCGTGTGTGGCCGAACGAACGCTGATAGCAAGCGTGGGAACAGTGTTCTTTCGAACTGTCNAGTCCAACTTGCTTTAGAGCCATGGACGATGCTCTGGTACGGTGCGTGGAACATCCTACGTCTTCATGTATCATAACTCCCAAATCCATTTCGTCAGTGGCATGCCGTAGTATTTGGTTCCCCAGAACATAGGAAAAATGAGTCTTGTGCCGAATAGAAATAACTCTGCATTTGGTAACATTGAACTCGATGTCATTGGCGATTGACCATCGGTGGGCTGCATCGATCGTTTGTTAGGGTGCTATATAATCCTCAGGATGTGTTACAGTTCTCCAGATCTTAGAGTGGTCCGCAAACAGTAGTTTATTAGACCCAAGGACATGTGGCAGGTCGTTTACAAATGTAAGAAAGAGACTAGGCCCCAGTACGGATCCTCGAGGAACCTCACGGGCAGCGGTGATAGGCTCTGATAATGAATCACCAACACGAACTGACATGGTTCCTTGTCGGAGAAACTCTTTGATCTAGTCCAGCACCATCCAGCTAGCTGATCGTCAACCCGAGAATTGTAAAGGCCACTTCACATTTCCGTACTCATGTTCGTTTATTTGCTCCCAACCGCTACAGCCAACGGGAACCGACAAGCTTATTCTATCCGTTAGGATGCGTATATCTTTCACGTGGCTCCACCTCATCTGAGGAGTTGGCATCAAACACTTTAAAAGTATACTCATTTATTTGCCACAGGATACAAGCTTTCTATATCTGATACAGCGCATCCGAAGAAGATTCTTGTCGTATATAATGTGTTCCGAAATTTTGTCCATTAGTGCGAACAACTCTAAATACCTGCTACATTAATCACCTCGATCGCTTTTTCTTATTTCATTACCTACCTCGGAGTAGCCTCCCGACTGAACTCAGCCCCTTGTGAAAACATTTCATGAAACGATATGGACAATTCACACGAAAAATGTAAAATGTCTTTCTTATTGCATCCGAGTTGCATGGAGATTTATCGGAGTTAAAAAATGATGCTTTTCAAAGATTTTATAGCTAACGAGAGAGAAATTGGAATTTTTGGAGTGGTACTTTCAGCATGGATCAATATCAGTGCACACATCGCTCAGGTAAGACAGTGAGTTCACGGAGGGGAATCAAACTCTGTTGCAAAACGCTTCAGACAATGCAGAATCAGTTAATGAAATATCTACAACCTTTTGGAACCATGATTACAGAACTGGCACCCTTGTGTTTTCAGTTCAAAGCCGATAACTAATTGGTTTTATCCAGCCATCATAATAAACAGCACAAGCGTCGGTACCACACCACCATAATCTGCTCTTAAACGTTGTTTGTTTTCTCCAAAACGCACATCTTCAATGAATTTTTTATTACACACCTTTGTGTAAAGAACGGTAGAAAGAGTGTGTCCCATAGTTACGAGGATCTATCATTCATTTTTGTGTTAACGGTTAACCTTAGCTCTATAGGAATTGGTTTGGTAAACCACCTGAAGGTCCGCCTAATATAAGTGTATTTCTGACCTGGATAAACAAAATCTGTGATTTCGGGTTGCGGGATTTCATCATTCGTAATATAGACCTTAACGGAACGCACTGGTTACTATTATCTCTCACTCTATCAACCTCCAGGGAGCAGGTAAAACACGCAGGTATTCTTTTTCAGCATTGCATTGAAATGCTATCGTCTATTCCATTCACATTGAGTTCCTGTTGGGTTATTTTCAAGTAGGCGGATGTATGGACAGACGCAAATTAGGAGACCATTAATATGAATTAGAACCACGAACAGAATCACCAGATTCTAATTTAATGCCCTCCCTCAATACGTAAACATCGGTTTGTTCGATTGGAGGCTGCTCGGGATTTCATTCACCGTCGGTTTCCGTCCAGATTCCCAGCTTTTTCTGTCATATTGTTCAATTTTAAAATTCCAAATCCATCAGCTTTAACTTCAGTCAGCCTTTGGGCTCCTCAGAGCGCCAAGTTAATCCTATGAACTAACCATCAAACCGTTATATTTGTGGCTACATTTGAATGCTGTTCAGTTCTCATTGTGTTTTCTACTCACGCGTACTCGCTCACTCCAACTTGCATGTCTTTTCAGATCAGCCGGTTCGGGACTCCTCACTACGCAAAAACAGATTGCAATATACAACTTGAGTCGCCTACGTCGGCGCCGTAGTTGTTCTGGCCATCATCTCCTCCATCATTCCACCCAAATCCAGTTCTATCTCAATGCATGGTTGGAGACAATGGTTTGATCCACATCGTCTCATTATCGCTTACCCGTGTGATCTAATGTTCAATTTGGTCCGAACTGTGATTTTGTGGATTTTGCTCACCGGTGGATCGGTCCTTGTGAGCACGAACGAAAATTTGCTGAACCGTTGGATCCATGTGGGACACGTGGCCAATTCCATCCGACCGCATTTATTGATCTCATGGAGCGAGTATGTGGGGGCCGGATTTCACATTGAACTTCTTCGACCGGAGACAATCTACGAGCGATGCCACATTCAGGTCAGTGTGGTTGAAGTGAAAACTGCATTGTAGTGATGGAATTTGTTCGACTATGCAGACTCGAAACTGTTGGTGAAATCTAGGTTAAACTATTCCCTCTTATGGCCACCTTCCCCAGTGTTGCACGGGCGAGATTGGGTTGGGGGAGGCATTCGATTCACAGATGTCCGGCTAACACGGGTGATCATGCATGATGGGGCAAATTGATCTTCGGAAAATCAGTGATTCACGGTTCTCCGTACCACATCACTTTTAACTAGAAACTAGTCCGTTCGCTGTTAACTATACACACTATATTACATGATGTAGATGGAGGATTTGATTCAATTGTACGGTGATTTTAGTCATGTAAAGAGCAAATGTACAGTGAACTGAAAAGCTGGGAAACACTATAGACTGCCCCCCGTTTCGACCAATTTATCAAATTCAGCTCCTCCTTCTCAACATTATCCCTTTTAGTGTCCACATGACAGAATTTAGCAGAACCTGTTCAGTTACATCGTATATTTTGCTCATCGGAAAAGGAACGACAATTGTGGGGACAAGGTATATATTTGTATGAAATGTTTGATTACTGACCTGGATGTTTGCTCATAAATTGAACTTTAATCGATTCCGTCTGATCGTCTGATCGTGGATTTTTTCTTTGTCTTCTGGCACGATCTTCATTTTATGTAGTCAACCCTCAGTTAGTTATGCTTGTTAGAGTTCGTCATTTCCTGTGCACGTCCACTGACCCAGTTGAGGTTGGAACTCTGTTCCCTAGGCTTTGGAGGTCTGTGTTACTACTGTGCCAACTCGGCCACACCGGGTGTGACCAGAATTACCAATTCATATTTTGTCAGAAGTCATCTTAAAAAAGATGGCCAGTTGGTTGTTTTAACCCGATAGCATTGTAATAATATATCATTATACTCCATATATATTATTATTGTAATACGTATTGCAGTTTATAAATGGGTTTAAGCGTACATATGTCAGCTGCTTAGGATAAACATTAAGATGCTTGTCCCAACGCTTATCGGAATATTTTACGGCCACTGTTTAAATCGGTGATGATTTGCGGATCAGTAACTCAATTTTTTAACACGTGTTTGGCCCGCAGAAAACGTTAGGTTGATTTGACAAATATAATCGAGATTTTTCTACCATACTTTACATATAGCAGTAATGGATTACTCAAAAAATACTTCTCACCGCTGCTGAAGAGATAATCCGTGGGGCTCTGATACCGGAACTGTAAACTAGAGTTCCAAGATGCCACGAGAAACAGTGGTCAACTTTACTACACAGGTAATTTTCATCGTGTGCCAGTCACCTACCCATACAACAGGTAGTGACTAATTTTAACGGAAGGCTTCTGAGTACCACTCCTATGTACATCCACAAAAGTATATCCACGATAGTAGCTGCTTATACTAGAAGCTTTTCCATAAGTGAATGACACAAATCTCATTTAATTTACAGTGCCCTTGTGAGTAGGGCTTTGGTTAAAGTGATTTATATCTACAGTTTGAGTAAAGTCCTCGTTCAGGCACTGATTGGTCGATAAGATTGCCATTAATATTGTATACAATTTCATTTTCAGACAAATCTACCGGAAAGTTGGACTATGCAACGAAAAACGTTCAACCGCTTGTACCTCCTCGCCCCGTCTCCCACCACGACCAGTGTGAATTTTACTTTGGAGGTGGTCTGTAATACGAGTCAAGGATTGGCCAAATTACCCATTCAGTTGGCCCTGATGAAATCGTTGCAATGGTCAAAGCACGCGCCCATTCCGACATTCCAAATAAATCCGATACCGGATCAGCAAGCCAATTCCATCTCATTCTATCGCATGCATTGGCGGCAAAAATTTGCGGAAGAGATGATTATCCTCATTTATAATAGGTGAGTAATTTGATCACCTATTAGTAGAAGATTTGCCGTCTTGGGGCAGCCAGGCACAGTGGGTTGCAACTGCTCGTCTGTTTCAGTCATTTTAAGTCGGGGAGTATGTTTCCAACCAAAACGAATGCTTTGCGGTGCAACGTCGTAATGACTGAATTATATAGGGTACCATAGATGTATGAAATGTTTCATCCTTCGGGAAGTGGTACCCCTTTGCAGTGCATTCGTTTTGCGTCAATTAGTTCACACCCCTGTTGAGCAACACAGCCATGTTAGGTTCAATTATATTCAGTTCTGTTCCCTTTGTTCGTACGCTTGGCTATCCAAACGGAACTCTCCTTTTAACCGTTTCGTTATGTGACATTTTCATCTTTAAGCACTTCTGAAATTCCTGTCGTCTTTTATTCCTTTCGACCTTCCAGCTCAGATGATCTCTTCAATATTTTTAGATGGCGAGTTTGGGAACGATGTTTATCTGGTGTATTGATGACATCTTATTGCGATGGAAATGTTCGTGATAACCGACAAAGAGCACTGGACAGCTGGTTCGTCCTGTTTGGGACTCGTCATCAGTGCGTACCTTTTGTGTCCCTGTCAGAACTCGAACAGCAATTTTTCGGGCTGGGACCTCAAACCCTTACCCTTGAGCTACACGATCGACGGTTATCACCTTGTGCGAATGGCTCAATCAATTTAGATGGCGAATGTTTGGATTAGCCTATTCGGTTTTTCACAGGCATTGGGGACTGTTGATGATGTTGGATGTGGGTTTCACTCCTTGGGAGATCGAATCCCAAACAGGACGAAACAGTTGTCCAGTGTTCTTTGTTGATTATCACAAACATTCCCATCGCATTAAAACAGGAATAAATGTTTATAGGGTCAAGTTTGGATTAGTTTAATCGATTGATTGAGTTATTCGCACAAGGTGATGACAGTCGATCGCGTAGCTCAGGAGTAAGGGTTTGATGTCCTGACCCGAATTTCGCGTTTCAAGACCTGACAGGGACACAAAAGTATGCACTGCTGACGAGTCCCAAACAAGACAAAACACCTGTTCAGTGCTCTTTGTCGGTCATCACAAACATTTCCATCCGCTCAGAAATACATACTGTTCAGTCTACAAGAATGAAGCTTTTTTTCACTTTGGTTGATAAATCTATCAATAAATTCGTGATCGGAAAATTAAAAAAAAGGTGGTGATAAGTGACACATTGACGATTACGGTTCGAGACAGACTGATAGACCACAATTTGTGGCAGATTTCGACATCAGATTTTCGGTTGCATGAAACCAGACATGATAAATGTGGCGCTCACACTGTCCCTGTTGTTTTTGTTGTCGTCGTTCGAAGAATCAGGAAGGAACCTGGGAAAGACTGCACATCAATTTCAACACAGTCACGTCTCAGTAGTCATACAAATCTATTTACCCAATTACGGAAAACCGAACCGGAGACTTTACAGGTAAAACGCAACTAGCGAATCCACAAGACAGGACGCATAACACCTAGTATCTTCGTTTTACGAGTAGAAAAACCTCAATGTTCTTTCAACTAGCTCCTCCCACCTAGGGTCGACCGACACACGCCCCAGTTCGATGAACTTGGAATTTTCGAACACCCCATCTTCGTTTGAACTCACTACCTCCAATGAGATGTACAGATAGGTACATACATTCTCTCAATGTGTCAACCTCATCCCCGGTCCAGACAACTTACGTCTCATGCAAACACAGTGATGAGCCATTGTTTCAATTTTGTACACAGTTAATCTTTCAGTGGAACTTTAAAACATTCCAGAGTTTTGGTGCCCGATGAGAATGGCATCCATCCGAAAAGAAATAACACAACAGGCTCTATCTGTCTCACAATTCAGCCCAAATGCTCTCACTACTACTGACTTGAAACCTGATGAAGCGATCGGTTCTGCATCACCTCCAGTTATCTCTCAT